TCGAAAAAGAGCATCTAGACTGCAAGCAGTACTTTCAAAAAAGCAAGCCGCTTTTTCGAAAGAGAGCACCCAGGCAGTCTGGATGCTCTCTTTCGAAGAAGCCCTGTTTGCATTCAAGAACATCTTTTTTCGAAAGAGCACTTTTGAAAAAAGGCGTTCTTCCTCGTGATATGAGGTTTTCCACCGTAGAAAGAGAAGCCGCGTTCTTTCGATTTAATTTCGAAAGAACGCGGCTGTAGTCTAGACGCAGGGGAAGTTTTTTCGAAAAAAGGCTACTTTTTTCGAAAAAACCCTCTAGTCTGGACACAGCCTTAGTGTCCAAGTGGTGCCAAATGTTCCCATGCAAGACCACCAGTATTAGGGCAGGGACTCTGCCTAACAAGTTAGAGAAACTGTATGTCAGGCCAACAAAAAAAGCTTCAACAGGTCATAATCTGCGTATCCATCATCACTGAATATATATAAAGAGAGAGTGTGTGAGTGTGAGTGTGAGAGATATCATGCATTGAGGCCCCAATCCAGCAAAGTACTTAAACACCTGCTTATGTGCTTTGCTAGATCAGGTCATGAATAATGAGGATGAAAAGAAATATTAACAGCTGTCTGATTGACTGAGCACAATTCGTCCTGTGCATTGAATGAGGCAGGATGTCTGTTGAACAAATGGTATGTGATAACTTAATTAAACATCATGTCATAATTCATATGCACAACGAGGTAGAATTAAGATGGCCTGAATCCCAGGACTTATTCTGACACTTCCAACTTTTGACTGGATTGCTTTGCAACCTTAGTAACACTGTTTCAATATAGTATTTTTGGTATAGTAATTATATGTATATGTGGTGTTCACATTATGCTTCTAGTTACAGACCTTCTAGGTGAGCTGGTAGCACCATTTATTATTAAGTATACCCAAAACATCCCATTTAAAGTTTCAGTTTCTTATAACTTTTCAAAATTTTAACCATTCTGGATGCAATTTTGTATGCCGGGCACTTACCTCAGCTTGAATTTTTTTTAAGAACTTCGGTTTGTATGTCTGCATTCTTGAAGATTAATATGAGGGGGGGGGAAGTAGGTGGTTTTAAAATAAAAATTACAGTCTGCATGTGCTCAGTAGAGACTTGCTAGAGCTTGCCATCTAAAATCTTCTGTGAAAAAACCAGCAGGTGATCATATAATTAATGCATGAGTAGAAACGAGCTAAATTAAGGTTGCTCAGGCACTAGATATGCTCTAGTTCAAACAGGAGTTAGTTCAAGGGAAATCCTATGCCTTGTTATTCAGGAGGTCAGACTAGATAATTCCAGCGGTCATTCCTGGTTTTATAATACATGAATTACTATTTACCAGCCCATATCATGCTGTCATGGTGCCATATTATAGTGAGGCCTGCTCTTGTGCAATACACAGTATGAAAAGCTGAATGATTATTTCTGATGATCATACACTGTATTATTGATATGTTAATTACTATTTTTAATATATAAAGGCAATGTTCTTATACTATAATAGCAGGCAGCTGGTTATCCAGTTTTGCTGAATGCTGAGATACTTATTATGGAAAATTGCTAATATGACATGATACAGTTAAAATAATAATTGCATAGGGTGAAAAGGATATTTAGTGAGGCCTGTTGACTATCCTTGTGCAGTTTAATACTCCTTAACCACTGTATTAGCCTATCATCTTCCCAATAGAGGGAAGAACTGCCAGTCTCCGGCTCAACCTCTGCGATGGCAAGAAGTAAGTAGCAGAAGCGGCAAATGATTGCAAAGGGGAAATATGTCATGCAAGCCCTTCCTTCAGCCCCCAGAGAATGCCAGCAGATGATCTCCAGGCACTCCCATTAAAATGGGCATCGCCTGACGAGGCTGTTGGTTTTGGTTCTGGTTCACCCACTAGATTCTCATCCAGAGCCTGATTCTCTGCTGTAGGGTGTGCAATTTGGAAGGAGGGAACAGCTGAGCAGGTTGGGAAATAGATGGGGGAGAGAGAATTGGCAAAGGGAGCTTGGGGAAATTAAAACACTGCTTAAAAATATAATCTGCCACGGAACCAATGTTACCTTGAAAGTTTTGCTCGTATGCTGTTCTTCTCTCATGACTATTTTGAGTTTAAAGTTCTCTGTGGCAGGGAATGTGTCTTTCAGTGGCATATTGTGGGGGCTGATATTATAGCAAATAATAATGATTGAATACTCAGAAATGTAGTTAATCAGGGGATTGTGACTGTGGTACTATTGAGCAAAGTAAACATCCCAGTGTACTGTGAATACCTAGTACCAGAAACAAATTCTTCTGTGCCAAGCCATGTATTGGCAGGATTACGCTAGGAAGCCCCTGGCAACAAGGAAAAACTCAATCCCAAGCTCTCTTCTTTGTTAGATAGAAATAAATCTGGACACCGAGATACACTTGCCATTAGATAACTGGCAGATCAAATATTTACAAGAAACATATTGTTTGAATTTTACTCCATTATATTACTACCAGCCAATCAGAATGTACAACAGCTTGTGTTATTTACTTAACAGAAAATCCTAGGTTGTGGAGGTCTTGAAAATGTATAGTATAGTAGTAGTCACCAGAGCTAAGTATATATCCTACATAGTCATCTTATGCAAGTAATTATCTTGTCAATATATCCCTACCCTTCAACAATTCCTGCACACATTCACCACAATTCAAATCATTGTAACCATCTAGCCCTCTGGCTAGATTTGCCAACAAAAAATTCTCATGGGTAGAAATAAAGTACAGTAATATTCAAAGAATCGTATGGGGTGGCAGAATGTAGAAAGCTAAGATCAATAGGATTAGCTGCCCTGTCCACTACAAAAATAATCCCTCCAACATCCTGCTAGCAGTTGAAAAGCTGCAACAACTGGCTGGATGGTTGCATGTCTGGTGAGGAAGAATGAGAGAGAAAAGGCAATAAAAGAAAATATATAATGATCACTATATATTTAAAAAAATACCAATTTGAAATGCTAATTTTTGTTTTGTTCTCCTTGAATGATTCTGTAATGTGGAAGGGTTTAACCCAGAGATTACAAAACATTTCACACCATTTCTATGTGTTTAACAGAAATCTCTGTTAATTTCACTGATCCACTTGAGAAGAACCCCTTTTTCAGGAGACTTTCCTTGGGAAGCCCAAAGAGAAAGGAGATTGCACTATAATATGATATTTTAACTTCCCTATCCTCTCAGCTACTTTTGCAGACTAGTAATCTGGCTGCTTCAGAATTCTTATTATGAGATTCCCAGTATGAGGCCCCAGTCGACTCAGTTTTGAGCTGAAATTGGCATGGGAGCTTAAGTGACTAACGATATTCCTAACCCTGAATGTTTCCTTCTGTAAGCATAGTGGATATTCATCCACTGATCTCTTGGTTGTTTGTACTACAGACCATGTGTTCAGATGGCACTGTGCCTGTGTACAAAGTGTTATGCCAGTTTCACAAAGGCAGAGGTGCCAAGCAACCCCGGACTTGGATGAGCAGACCACGTTGCTCTGTTCAAGTAGCAAGAGGAGGCAATAAGTCATTTTTGGCAAGAGTGTCACAGTTGCAGCACAAGCCTGTTTGCTTTTATCATGCTGGTTCATATCTACCTGCTTAAAAAAAAATCTGGATAAGCAGGTCAGGAGGATGAGGGGCTTACAAGTGGCTGATAATATAGGCAGCTTCTATTGCAATGGATGCATATAATTGTCACAGGGGACACAATGACGTATCTGATCACAGATTATAAAGAAATACAATTCATACTCCTATGACAAAAAGGCCAGGGGAAACGCTCACATCACAGGCTGTACACTAATCCAAAGTAGTCAGCCCATCCATGGCACATTACTATGATTGGAATCTGATTGTCAAAGATCAGGGCTTTCAGCAGAGTCAGTCTTCTAGCAAGTGTAGTTGGCCTGCAGCAGGCTACCTGTACCGCCTGATTAGTTGTGGTAGCTGGCTGTCTTTTCTACCAGCAACAGTGGCTGAGTGCCCAGTGCATTCATTTCTGCAGTTCCAATCCTCCATGTGCCTGCTCCAACCCTGCTCCTAGTCCTGTTCATGTCTTGTTTCCTAGCCTTGGCTACCTTGATTTGCTCCTGATCCTTGACTTGTAGGAGGCAACAAAGATGTTCCTCTGTTAGCCACAGCCAGATCACAGTTAGATCCATTCCTGACCTTTGTGTGAAAGCACTCATGACTGTTAGCAGAGGTTTCTGATTGGTATTAAACAGGTGTCTGCTCCTGTGGTGGCAATTGTCGTTCCCAAGAAGTTTTCCCTTGTATTGCAATAACACTGTTCTCTACAAACTGTGGTGGCCTATAACACCAGACATTTGTATGGCGCTTTGCTAACATAGGCCTCAGCTCTGCAAAAATCCCTGCCTCTACTCAGAAGTAAGGGCCTGTGCATGCTGATCCCTTTGTTTGGGATTGCAGCCATAGATAAGTTATGTTCCCTGCCCTTGAGAGCGTACTGTGTAATTTTTAATGTACCGTACGTATTGGTCCTTGTAAGTCACCATCCATATTGGGTTGGGGCACAATGGAGAAAAAAAGTGCCATGTTTTTGTTAAATAGCAATCTACTTAAGTTTAACCACAGCTAGACAGGAACCCAACTTCTGTGACCATTCAGTCAGGATTTCCTATCTTGAATGTAGGCTATGCAGCAGCCAATTAGTAGAGCTAGCATATTCTTTGTGGTAAGAACTGAAGGCTTTTACATGAAACCATGTGTGCCAGTATAACTTACGTTGCTCAGGGATTTGAAGAACCCACCTCCCTGAGCAATGTAAAGACAAACCTGTAAAACAAGGGCTGTCTACCCACCTTCTGTCTCCCCTCCTAAGATTCCTTCTTCACCAGAGAAGATTACGTGTCCACTCACACAAAAGATCTTGTGAGCACTGTACCATCTACTCTGTGTAACTAATACAGAAGATGTTTTTGAATTAATTGTACCATATGTGTTCTTTTTCAGATGACTCCGCTAATAAACCAAGCATGTGATGTCCTGCTAAGTAACTTGAAGGTCTATGCGGATTCTGGCAAGGCTTTCGATATTCAAAGGTACATTCTCCATGCTACAAATGAGCCACCTTTTCAAAATACTTGAATACTCGCACTTACCCTAAAGACCCATTTACTTACAGGCTGGGACACAGCTTAATGCAGGGTGTTTCCAATGAGGCACCCTTCTTTTGTGGTCATTATCACTCTAAAGGTGTGTCTACACTGTAAAGAAAACACAAGGGTGCTGAGTCTCGGAACCCGGCCCAACTGTCTTGGACTCATGGGTCTTGGCCTGTGGGCAAAAGTGAAAGTAGGCCAGTGCAGGCTGGTGTGGCTGCTATACAGGATCAGATCTATCTAGTCCAGTATCTTTTCTCTTACAGTGCCAGCACCAAAAACTTACAAGGAACCCTATGATAGACAGTTGTAGGATAATTTGCCTCCATTTTAGTTCTCATCCTCATCTCTGAATAGTCAAGAGATTGGCATAAACCCTGAAGCATGAGGCTGAATATCCGTCTCAATTTTGTGTTGGCATTAACTGTTATAACTCTGGTTAATGTCCAATTCCTTTTTCAATGTAGCTAAATTCTTGGCCTCAATAATTTCCTGTAGCAACGAGTTCCAAAGTCTAATGATGTGCTATGTGAAAAAGTATTTCCTTGTATAAGTTTGGCATTTGCCAGCTTTTAATTAAATGGAATGCCCCTTTGCTCTTGTGTTATGAGACAAGGAGAACAGAAGCTCCTGATCTACTTTCTCTAGACCATTTCGTATACAAACATATACTTCTTTTATGTCCTTGTATCCTATCCTCTCTTCTTTAATGTAAGCAAACACAGTCTCTGTAGTCTCCTTTTCTGTGATAGTTTTCCTATATCCTTAATCATTCTTGTCACTCTTCTCTGAACCCCCTTTAATTCTGCTCTACCTTTTTTAGACGAAATTCAGAATCCTTATATGTATACCATCCGTTGCATTTAAATTACCTTTTTGTTCCAGTACTTACTCTTCTGACACTTTAATCTCTGAGGCCAGGCCTACGCTAAAGGGAAAAGTCGACTTCAGATACATAACTCCAGCTTCGTTAATTACATAGCTGAGGGTCAATGCATCTTAAATTGCGTTTTTGTGTCCTCCACACAGTGGGAGGTCAATAGGAGCAAATGCTTTTGTCGGCTTCCCTTACTCCTCATGAGGAGCAAGATTACTGGTGCCAACGGAGGTGCCTTCTCAGTTTGAATTAATGGGTCTCTACTAGAACTGCTAAGTCAAACCCTGGAAGATCGACTGCGGCAGCGTTGATCTTCCGCGTAATATACACATATCCTGATAGTATCTCATCTTCATTATCAGGAAAAATCAGGTCCAGGGTAGGTCCAATGTCCTCTGCAGTGAAGACAGATGCAAAGAAATACTTTCGTTTTTCAGCAGTCCTTATGTTCCTTTGTGGCTCCCTTCAATCCCTGGTGATCTGCAGACTAACAATGGTGCATCGACCACAGTTTGCGAAATTCTGCTGTACAAATAAATGGATGGAAATTATTGGCAAGGTTATTAGAAACACTCTCTCAGATAGGGATCTGTTTCTGAGCTAAAGAGGAAGCTTTTTCATGGTCAAAGCCTCAGAGAATCTGATACCTGGCACCAAAGCAGTCTTTCATAAGATGACATGGGGTCTGTGACCATGAATAATTTGATAGGCTTTTACAAACTCCTGACATAATGCATTTGATTTATAACCATTTATAAAAAGCTTTTTTTCTTTATAATTTAGAAGTACAGTTCCTGACCAAAAGGGTTATATAAACACTATTAAAATTTCTCACATGAACTTTAGAGGAGGCTGGAGGCTGCTGTTGTTAATAGCATTTAGCCTTTGTTGTTTGTTGTTAGAAGAATAATGAAAAAAATGGCTGTAGGTGAAACTCAAATCTAATGAAAATTGACTCAAATCTAATGAAAATTGACTAAAATCTAAAAAACAAAAGGGAAAATATATAAAGTACTATTTGGGAAGCAGATATGGAAGGAACAAGTTAAGAATTACTTAGGCAAGTTAGATGTCTTCAAGTTGGCAGGGCCTGATGAAATGCACCCTAGAATACTTATGAAATGTCTGAAGAGCTCTCTGAGCCATTAATGATTCTCTCTGAGAACTCCTAGAAGATGGGAGAGATCCCAGAAGACTGGAAAAGGGCAAATATAATACATATCTATAAAAGAGAGAATATGGACAACCCAAGAAATTATAGACTAGCTAGCTTGACTTATGTAACTGGAAAGATAATGGTGCACACATTCAAACAATAAATGTTTAAGTGCCTCGCATATAATAAGGTGATAAATATTAGCATGGATTTGTCAAGAACAAATCATGTCAAACCTATATAATATCCTTTTGTCAGGGTGACCTTGTGGGTAGAGAGGAAACAGTCAATATGATATATCTAGATTTGAGTCTGACACTCTCACACAACCTTCTCAGAAGTAAACAAGAGAAATGTAGCCTAGACAAATTTCCTTTAAGGTAGCTACAGAAATGGATGGAAAACCAAACTGAGAGAGTAATTATGGCTCATGGTCAAGCTGGAAGATCATATTGAGGGGAATCCTGGAAGGATCTTTCCTAAGTCAGGTTCTAGTTGATATCTTCATACTAGAGAATACACTTAGAAAGCTTGTGAATAATACCAAGTTAAGAGGGGTTGCAAGCACTTGGGAGGATAAGTGTAGAATTCAAAATAATCTTGCCAAACTGGAGAAATGGTCTGAAATAAATAGGATGAAATTCAATATGGACAAATGGAAAGTACAATACTTAGGAAAGAATAGTCAACTGCACATATATAACATGGGAAATGACTGCCACAGAGGGAGTACTGCAGAAAAGGGTCGGGGGATTATAGTGCATCACAAACTAAATATGAGTCAACAATAGAATATAGGTTGGACTTCCATGGTCCATCACCCTTGGGACCTGACTAGTCCTGGATGAGGGATTTTGCCAGGGTCATTTCTGGCCCCCTTGCTGCTGGCCCCACCTCCTGCTCTGCCACCCCATCAGGCTTCCCGATTCCCTTGGGCAGCCTAGCTGGGTTGTGTGCCAGCTCCCTCCACCCCCACAGGCGTAGCCCAGCAGCATGGCGGATTCCTGGCTTCCAGCCCATTAGGCAGCCCAGCTGGGCCCCGCACTGAGCTTCCACCTCCTCCCTCCCTGCATTGGGCAAGTTTCCGGGCCCTCCATACCACCCGCAACATTCTGGGACTCTTTGATCCTGGAATATACCATGGATTTTGCCAGACCAGATGGTTTATAGAGGTGCAACCTGAACTATTGCAAAAAAAAATCATATGGGCTATGTTATCAGAAGGGGTGTAAGTAAGAGATAAGAAGTCATTTTTCAACTCTTCTTAGAGCAGAAACACTGTGTCTAGTTCTGCACAGCCTACTTTCAGAAAGATGTGAAATGTGGATAAACTGAAGAAAGTCCAGAGAAGAGCAACAAGTGAGGAAAGATTTAGAAAACTGAGTTTGTTTAGTGTGGAAAAGAGAAGAATAAGAGGGAAGGGGAACATGATAGAAATGTTCAAATATGTAAAAAGTTATTATTAAAGAGAATGGTTATTAAATTGTTCTCCTTATCTACTGAGGATGGGACAATGGGCTTATGTTCCAGCAAGAGAGATTTAGGTGAGAGGATTATTCTAGGAGGGGGTGGGTGAGATTCTGTGGCCTGCACTGTGCAAGGGGTCAGACTAGATCCGTGGTCCCCAACACGGTGCCCGCAGGGGCACTTGCATGCGCCCACCAGGTGCTCGGGGCTGGCCCGGCCCCGGGCCCCTGGCG